ATTCATAGATTTGATCATTCATCATCCAAAACCATGTTTGCTGAAGCCAAAGTCACATATGCCACAAAAACTGGAATACGTTCCCCAAGCATGGCAAAAAGTAAATGATATTCCGTATGAAATCATGATCCAAAGAAAATCATGATCTAAAGAAGGTCAAGTCTCAATTTTTTGTCCTTAAAAACATTGTAGTTTGTTTTATTGGTCGTAGATACGGTCACATCACACTCCATTCACTTTTCATAAGGATAATTTTAATAAAAAATTAGTGCTCTTAGTCGATCAATGTAAAACCTAGAGTAATCAAGTTCAGAGCCTGAGTCAACTAGTACGATTGAGAAAATGTCATAAAATTCCAAATCTTATGGTGGTTGGTTTGCTATTTAGTGAACTGGAGAAAAATAATCACGAACGATTTACAAGTGAAAGGGGCTTGAGATAAATAGTGATCGGATTTCGATGAATGTTCTTGCCAATACCAAAAGAAGTTATATAAGGTACTAAAAAAAAATTCGGTATAATAGCTCAATTAACTATATTTGTGGATAATTTTATTATTATTATATATATTTTTATTATTTTTGTGGTACCAAAAGAAGTGATAAAAATAGTTACCACAATAATGATAAATTACCTACAAATAGGAGTGTTCAAATTTTCGATTAGCTGTAGTTTCCTATTCTTCCGAACCCTACCAAATCCTATTAAACGACTAGCCGAAAAAATCGGATAAGAAAACGGAAGAGTTTTTGGTCTTTCGATTAAATTGGGTAGGAATACGTAATAACCATTAATTTTCGTATTCCTATCCTATCCTACCCGCATTAATTTATATATATAAATTAAAAACCCTAATTCCCTAACCATATGGTTTAAATTTAAAATAATTGTTATTGTGTTTGTATATGTACAACAATTATAATAGATTGATGTTTATACTCTCTTGTGTTTTATTGTAATTATTTTGAATTTTAGCGTTATTGGTTTATTGTGTTGTTAAATTTGTACATTTTATTTAATTGAATTGTTAATATAATCCCAAAATTAATAACTATAAAAGTGTTCACCCGATTTCCTATCTGATTTCCTACCCAATTAATTTGGCCTAAAGTCGGGTAGGAATGTCACACTTGATCTGGTAGAGTAGGCCAAAAAAAAATTCTTCCGCAAAGTATCAGGTAGAAAGACAGAAAACTATATTTCTTACCCACAAGGTAGGGTAAACACTCCTATCTACAAATATGGTAAATTACCCCATAAAAATAAAATACAAAATTTGTATTAAAAATAATTATCACAATAATAATAAAAATAAATCACAACAATAATAAAATAGTAAATTTTGGAGTTACCATATCCAATTTTATTTTATTTTTTTATATCATAATCAAGTCCATGACAAAACAGTTTGAATTGGTGATTTGATCGGTTAACATGATAAAATATTGAGTGTTTATCAGGTACCAGCATGACATGCATACGTGGTACATAACACCAATAAAGAGTGGCTATGTCAATGAAATGTAAGCAATGTCAGAAAGATGGCATATCATCTACATAAGTTAACTCAGTTAACGGGAGTAACATTTTTTTTTGTTTCTCTCTCCTTGACCTTTTCTCACTCTACTGTATATCTATCATTTCATCCGTCAGCTTCCCCATAAAGTTTCTTTATCTTTGAATTTTCTCACAACAATTCAAAATTTACTCTCACTCTCTCTAAAAGGCATCATCTCTCTTCCTCCATTTCTAACAATATTTCCGAACGACCATATTTTTCGGCAAGTAAAATTGCTTTACACAGGTATTGTTTTCTTGGATTTTTCCATTTGGGTGTTGCCCATGGTGGGTGGTGTTGCATGTGTGTTGCTTTTGGCCTTTACAGGTGTTGTGTACAAGTGTAGTCTTTTTCCGACGTTTGTGTATGTGTGGGCTAGTGCATATGTGTTGGTCCATAAGAAAGTCATGTGTGCGTGAGTGCAATGTGTATTTGAAAAAATTAATGATTATTTTTAATTTTTAAATTTAGTTGATCAATTCGTCAGCCACAACAGTCGATCCCGTCGCTAGTCACAACATTTGGTTCCACCATTACCTCTGGTCAAGATTTTCGTAAGTCTCTATATTTCTCTCATTCATTTTCTTTGTTGAACTTCTGTATCATCCATCCCCATTCTATCTTTTTCTCCTTCCTTCTTGTACCTTTCGATAGTCCGCTGGAGATTATTTTACATCTCTTTGTCCCTCCCTCTATGCCACATCTGTTTTGGAAGAACAAATTGGTTTGCAAATTGTTCGACGAATTGCCAGTGCGGAATAAATTTAAAACATGAATTTTTTGTTAGATTTGTTTCAGCTTGATGATGAGTGCTCGGTGATATTCATGAGTTAATTTCATGTTGCTTAAACTTAAATAAGTACTTAAATATACATGATATTTTCTACAACTTGGTAGTCATCTTGATTAGATAAATCAACTTGATTCAATTGAACGAAAGTATTTCTAGGTGACAGGGTGTGATAAGAATACCAAGTAGACTTTGGTCCACCAAAGTCCTTTCCTTTTTTTTAGGTCATTTCTTTCTCTAGTGCTTCAGTTTCCCAGTTCTTCTCTTCAATTTTTTTAGGGGGCAGCTTTTTCCTTGATTCAAGTGTTCATCACTTCATCTAGATGGTCTTTCAACATGTGCGGTATAAAGGGTGACATGTATTGAACTCGTTGGAAGCATTTGTAATTCTCACCAACATATTCTATGTTGGAGTTAAATAACCCAAAGCATTATCCCATTGAAGCAGATTCTGAGGTGATGGTGAAAATCATATTACTGGGGCATAAGCGAGCATGGAAATATTGGCAGCTTCTTGGGAAGATTCTTGAAATTCTGGAGCACCTGCATTTCATTGGATTTTTCATAGGCAATGTCCCTTCCTCCTCAAGCTAAGCTGCTCCTACTTCATGATCAATAAGGTGTAAAGAAACTTAGGAATGTTGATTGATTCATTGTACACTTGAGTGGTTGCTTCTTGTAATTGATTTGTTAAACATAAAATAAAGTGTTGATTTGTTTGAAAAAAAAAATAGAGATTGGAGATGTTGTTCAGATTTCATTAATTACTTACCAATCTTTGTGCTGAGATTGTGTACAATCATTGGAATTGGAAAAGAAATACAGTTTTGTTATGGCAAGACTTCTCCTTTGTAGTTTTGTATGTGAATATGTTTTTGTAGTTTTGCTTTTGGTTTGTTATGGAGACAAGATCAATGAGTATTGCCTACTAGATGGCCTGAAGCTACGGCTGGTATGTGGGGTTTGTTGGTCTGTGATTTTTTAAGAAAGTCTTGCTGCAATTCTATTGGTGGTTGAATGTTTTGAAAGATTAAAGTCATAACTTGTGATGTAAATGGGGATTGATTCATTCAATACAACTCAATTGCTGAATTTAGGATAAAACTTGAATTTTAAATACAACTCAATTGCTGAATTTTTTGAACAGATTCATTCAAATAAGGATTAGTAAATGGGGGTTGATTCATTCAAACCCGAGCATAGAGTATTATTGAACGGGTTCCATGATTAATCCAATTCATACTTGACAAATATCCTCTATAAAATAACTTTACAACTACTTTCTCATTTCTATTTGGAATATCATCAAACATGCTTCAAGCATCACTGCATCCAAATATATATGAATGTAAATGTGAACTAAACTATCGAAAAAAACAACAAAAGAAAAAATATATAAACCAATCCTTCTTTCACTTCAGATATAAATGCTCTACAAGCATGTTCAATTTGGCATCATATTAATCCAAAGGCAAAAGTAATCCTTTCTTTTTCATTGTTTTACCATTTACAAAATTGAATGAGTTCCAAAACAAATGTACAATTTGCAATTCAATCCTTCTAAGAGGCAGCAACTCAATGTCTCCTAACATAACAAAATCAGCTTCACCATGGGGGCAACATGTCAAATGTCCAAAATAGAGCAACTTTTACATAGACAATTCATCGAACACTTGGTGAACAAAGTCCAATCAAAGTGTCCCTTCCTTACACAGGAGCAGATTCACTTTTGCCTCAATGGATTCACTATAAGTATGGATAGAAATGGGTGCAAAACGTGTAACGGTGAGGAAGAGGAGGGAAAAAAAGGGGAGAGAAGAGAAAGGGAGGAAATGAGAAGAAATGAAAGAATGGGGCGGAAAAATAGCCGTGAGTACTGCAACTCAAAACTCCAAACTCTGGNTTTAGAAAAACTTTTGTTTGGAAATTTCTTGGAGTCATAACCAGCTCGCTTCCATTGGGTGTTAAACTATGTTTTACGGGGAAACACACTTAGAACATGGATGTAAGCATGAACCGTGAAGCTCTAGTACTGTTAGATAGAAATAAGAAAGAAACAATGAAAATCATCTCAAAAAAATCTTGAGTGCTCTATTTTACTTATTTATAGTCGAAATCCAAAATTTGAACATTTAGGCGGGGGTTCAAATTTTGATTTTTGATTGTTGAGTGAGTAAAGTTTGAATAGTTATGAGAAAATTCAAAGATAAAAAAAAAATCGGAGAAGCAATGAATGAATGAGAGATGAAAGATATACAGTAGAGTGAGAAAAAGTAAAGGAAAGAGAAACCATAAAAACGTTATTTCTGTTAACTGGGTTAACTTATTTAGATGACATGACATCTTTCTGACATTGCTGACATTTCATTGACATGACCACTCTTGATTGGTGTTATGTACCATGTATGCATGTCATGTTGGTACCTGATAAGTACTCAATAATAATAAAAATAATCACAATAATAATAAAATAGTAAATTTCGGAGTATCCGATTTTATTTTATTTTTTTTATATCATATTCAAGTCCATGACAAAACAGTCCGAATTGGTGATTTGATCGGTTAACTGAGGGTATATTCGTCAGAGAAAAGTACTGAAAAATCTATTGCCTATCATCACCTTGAATCTTCCTCATGAAAAAACAATAATATTTGCTCCAAGGATCAAAGGCAATTAGAATGTGATTTTGAATTTCTCCCACGAAACTGTTCGATCAGATCACAGGTTAGTGTTGAATTTCAGGCTCCATTTCTCTTTTACATTCACCTGCATTATGGGTATTTTAATGGCAGGGAAGGTATATATGGATCGAATGAGGCCTGTGCACGTGAGGCAGAAAAGCGTAACAGGCACGACGCCTACTGGAGCTTCATTATCCTCTCCCATGGCGTCGCCACTGCACGGCCATGCACGTTCTGGGTCGGCGAGCATTGCCGTGAATATGAAGAAACCGCAGAACACGAAGGCCGCTGCTCAAAGGCTCGCTCAGGTCATGGCTCATCAACTTGATAACGATGAGGATGAGGACGACCTTTTGTATGATTATAGCCCTGCCAATGCATCCGCCGGCATTGGGCTTGCCGGTGGAAGAGGAACCAGACCTCGCTCTCCTCTGGTAATAAGCATATGCCATGTAGTAATGTCTGTATTTAGACAAACAAGATCATATACACGTGCATGTAAAGTGTATGTATAAATGACTCACTGAGCGTCAAAAACCATGTAAAGGGCATTATACGTTCCATCTCTGAATATATAGGTTTGAGTCGTTCCTCGAGATGTTTTCTGTGATACTACATGAATATTTAGCTTTATATATATATATATTTGCACGGCATTGTACAAAAACAAATTCTTGATTGGAATTGACATAAAACACATTTTTATTCTAGAATGGCCAGTTAGGGATGTGCATTGGAGGTTCATCCAAGATCGTTTCATTTGATAAACGAGCTACACTTGAGCATATTCTTAGGTTGGTTTTTTAAGTTCGGTTCAATAGTCTAATTATCATCTAAAATTACATAAAAGCAAAAGCTACTCAAACTTGACTCGAGATAGATTCCATGCCTACCCGCTTGAGATCGGCTCATTACATCACCAAGTCAAGGTTGAACTTTATTTAAAATTTGTTGAAATTTCTGACCGAACTTGTAATCTAATTTTTGGTTTGGCTTGACTCATTTCCACCCCATTCATGCACATTAAACACATTTATTATAAGCAGTAGTAACTCTACAAACTATAATTTATTAACCCGAATTCATCATCTGGTCATATGGAGAGACATGACTACATTGATGTCGTCTTTTGGATAGTTGGACATGAACGGTGAAGATTGTTATCTCCTCACCTCGACATTTATGTAAAATTAAGGATTTTTAAAGTTGATTGATATCAGTTAATGCTAACATTCTTCGTGAATGTAAGGTTTGAAACCTTTGTTTGTTACTATCAGTCAGCTCGTACCTCCATGGAACGTCCGTCTGTACGATCAGCATCAGGAAGCCGAGCACCTCTATCTGTCAATTCTGTCGAACAACCTTCAGTGCCTCTTTCAACATCAGTTACACGATCATCTCAGGCCAATTATGGAGAACGACCTCCATCTGCTCGTTCTGTAGTAGCTGGTCATTCACCTCAATATTTCTCTAACTCTGTCGAACAAGAACAACCTTCATCTGCCCGTTCTTATTCGGCCGGCGGATCAGCTCAATCCACCAATGCCACGGAGCAGCCTTCTTCTGCTCATTCAACCTCAGCTAGCCGTCCAAATTTAGGGATCAAGACAGTTCCTATGGTACCCCCCAGTGTACCACTATCACTTAAGCCAGCTGCTTCTGGGATTCCAGTAGAGGCTCAGCCTGATCATCGAAAGGATAAAAGGTATATTGCGCAGACATGATTTTTTGCAAAATTTGAACATAAAGAGCATTTATGGTTTGCATTGTTATTTTGTTCACTATTATCTGTGATGTCTTCATTTTGCTATTCATTTAATGTCTCTTCATTAAATAAGCAGCCATGAGCCGTATGTCCCTTCATTTTTACGAATTTGTAGTACCTTTTAAAGTTTCTCTGTCAGTGGTTGTATCTGCTAGATTTTTTTATGTCTTTGAAGGTACTCTATTATTACAATTGGTAAGAGAGAATTTTCTGAAAACCAGAATTAGGAACAACGAAGTATGCCTATTCTGGCTAACCCAAGGAGAAATCTCCACTCTACAGCAGAGAAATACAATTATTATGCACAGAACTTACATGCCAATTGAATCTATGAAAACTGTACAAGAAAAACCAGTTTTAGTTCCCTCACCCTTTCCAGTCATGATTATGTTTTACTCATGACATATTTATTCCTTGCTTCTGCAGAATCTTTGACATTTCTGATTGACCCTTAACGTATTGAGCAAGATCTTAAAAAATTCAATCTTTATGTTGTCAAATCTCCTACTTATTTCACATGAATTTGATGCAACTTGAGCAGCAAAAACTATGGCATTCATATTTAAACTTGACTTACCTTTAAATTAAAACTTGCCAATGGAACTGTTTGATTCCAGTACCAGTACACTTGAACAAAGCACACTTGGTCATCCTTATTCCACTTAACATGGAATTGGCAATCAAAAAAATATGGTCATGAGTTTCAGTCTGTCTATGACAGAAAGAAACACCAAGTCTCGAAATAATACGTTTCTCAGCTGTACAATTTTGGTTGGTAATCTACTTTTTACAGCAAGCCAAAGAGAATGATTGCATTGGAATAATTTCACCTTTCCATTAAGGAGTGATTTTCACGAAGAGCTTGCTAAGTGGAACCTGCTGAAATGGCCATTAGGGGAAGGAAGCCAAAGGACCAAAGGATCTTGCCTACTTTGCGAATTTGATGAAGAAGATGATGCCTTCCAAACCCCTAATAGATATTTGTCTCTGATGTTTTCCCTACTAATTGCCTTTTCCTTTGCATTGTTGTTTTTTTTTCAAATTAATTAAATATTCTACTTTTAAAAAAGACTTAATTTATCTTATGCTTGTGTAGTTCAATCTAGTATTTCAAGTTTTTGTGTAGTCTGCTGCTACTATATCTAATTTTTTTAACGCATACAATAAGCAGATTGTCTCTAGATTTTGGAACATTTAAGTATAAGGATGATTCCAACCAGCATTCTTCTTCTGCTCTGCAAGATGAGGTATGGCCATTTATCAAAATGATAATGCCTGTGGTTGTCAAGTCCATGCTGCATAGCTATCCCCTATTGTAAACTTAATAGATGCAACATCGCCCATTTTTAGTGTGTTTATATTTGTTGTATTTTTATGAATCAATGTACCTTAATCATTGTTCTTTTTTTATGCAACATTAGTGGAAGTTCTTCCCTCAGTGATAGTCATATAATTAATGTAGTTGAATCCAAATTGCAGCTTGATATGCTACAAGAAGAAAATGAAAGTTTACTCGAAAAGGTGATGCCAGCTAAAATCTTACCTGATTCACTATAGTATATGATTGTATGATCTGTGGAATTTATCATTGTGATTATATATAATAAGATGCCCTATTGGCACTTGAGTGCATATTCTGGCTTCTCTCAGCTCTTGAAGCACCAAGTGTTGGAAGGTTGTGAAATAGCAAGCATCAAGAGATTCACCATGGTGATGATTGATATTGCCACATTGATATTACCTCACTCTCCAACATCAAACTAAGAAGCATGGACACTTCATTTTGACCTGTCGGACACGTTTGAGACATGGATACTCTTCGACAAGTGTCCGATTTATTTATTATTATTTTTGAACCGGACACATTTTGGGCAAGTTGGGGACATGCTGGGGACAATGACTGGCACGCTAGGAACACTTTTTGGGGTTTGTTTTCAAATTTTTAAGAACTTCTCAAGTAACTCTATAAATAAGGAAGTTATTCTGAGTGTTAAAGGGATGTGTGCCAAAATTATAATATGAAAAGAGCTATAAACACTAAGTGGGCATAGAAACCAATTCGGACACGACTGCAACATTATATACAAATAGAATACACTTCTTATATGAAAGTAATTAGACAAAAATTTGGGTTATGAAATAGGGGCTCTTTGAAATTGAATGGAAGTTAGGGTTATAAAGTGGGATATTTTTGAAGTTGGAATTTTAGTAATCATTGATTGTTGAATCATGGATGTCTATGATGAATGCGCATATATTTTATCTTTTATTTGATGATTTTGTGATTCTCACTTGTTTGAATTATGGAAAGGATGAATTAAGTAATTATGATGAATATATATTCAATTTATAATATGATCACATATATAACAATAAATACATAATATTTAGCGTGTTTCCCAACGTGCTCACGTCCTACTTTTTGACAATTCTTGTGTCGGCATGTCTACATCGTGTTGTATCCGTGTCCTGTGTCCATGTTTGTGTCCGTTCTTGTTAGACATCAGATGATGTCCTAGGGTGGGACGATATAGTGATAGTGTTAACTAAGGGATATCGGTTTTGTTATATTTTGGCATCCCATTATAATATGTGCCTTTCAGCTTCGACTTGCAGAGGAGAGGGGTGAGGAAGCAGAAGCAAGGGCCAGGCTGCTTGAGAAACAGGTAACCTTCTGATGGCATGTTCCTCATATTAATGTTGATGCTTCATTCTGTACTTCTATGTTTTGTCACACGATTATGGGATCAATGATTAATTCCACCCATGGTTTTGGTTACAAAGTTTGTTACATAAGCAGCTATCTTTATCATGACAGCACCTTCGGGAATTTAATTTGAAAATTTTTATAATGGCCATTGGTGCTTTCAACAGAGCAAATCTGATGGAAAAATATCCTCCATTTTGCACTTGTCCAAATACAAATCAAATGGAATCTCGATATTTGAACAACTTAGATACAAACTTCAAAGCATGATTACACCTATCTAGATGATTTTCTTATTTAAACCCCTTTAAGCTTTTTTATTGTGATTTAGAATGGTACATCCTACATCCTACATGTGGAGTGTAAGTTGCTAAGTTTCAACATATGAAATTATTCTTGTTTTTTATGTTAAAAAGCTCACAAAATGCTTTGTTATTGTTAGGTTGCAACTCTTGGAGAAGGTGTATCTTTAGAAGCTCGTCTTCTGAGCAGGCAAACATCAATAAATTGAAATGTTTCTTTCTTAGTTTTACTGCCAGCATTTGTAGCCTAATTTCTGTTGTTTATTGTACCCTGCAGGAAGGAAGCAGCCCTGCAGCAAAGGGAGGTTTGTTCCACAAAGAGTGCTCTATCTTTTAATGATACAGGATTCTGCATGCATGTATATTAATTTGCACCATAGCTATATTGAAAACCTGATTGTGCACACTCTTGCACTCATATATGCACGTCTATACATGCTCGTTTCTCCTTGGTTCAGGCACATGATCTTCGAGTCTGTCAGAAATGTACTTCGGATATTATGCACCTTACATTTCTGACACAATAACAGCAGGTGTGCTAATGCCTAATACCAGCTTGACGTACTGCACTTAAGGGTACAAATTCCATCACTTCTCCATCGAACTGGCCTTCCACGGAATTGTCATTTCATAGTTTTCTCCTGTTGAAGAATTAAAACTGATATGGTGTAATAATGTACTGCCATATCACCATTTCCCGTAGTATGCCTGGGTATAAAATTCATTTAAACTCTTTATTTATGGTCCTATGATCCTTCGAGTTGACCATATTTCCCCCGAGATTTTTGCATATTTCCTAATAGATGCTTTACCTGTTTGTGAAATCACTTCCATATTGGAGCATTCACGCTCCCCTTTTGGGGTCTTTGGCAACACTCATCTGACAATCTGGTAGATGTCTTAGGACTGTTTTCAGTCATTAGCATCTAGTTATTGTCATTAATTTCTAGGATTTCCCTCAAACCAATTATCAAAATATCATTTCGAACGTCCGAAACATTTCCATTTCTAAGAAGAACTAACGAATTATTGATTGAATTGAAATTCCAATTCTTTGAGGTATTTCGGAATGTATTAAGTTGTTTCGAGATATTTCAATATGTTTCCACCAATGTTTTGAAATGCGTCAAAGTGTTTCAAGATCTTTAAATATATT